TGTGTGTGTGTGTGTGTGTGTGTGTGTGTAAATGTGTTTACCTCTAATTTAATGTCACCAATGCTTTGGTATTGTAAAGACTTTTACCATGCTAATAAAGCTACTTGAATCTGAATCAGAGAGAGAGAGAGAGAGAGAGTGTGTGTTTTTGGGTATTACTCACCAGGTAAAGTAGAAGGACACACACACACGTGTGTAAGTAAAGGTGGTGATCTCTACACAGAGTAGTTCTCTTGAACTCTTCACAATGGGGTTATAACTGTTTAAAAAATACTTCACAATTGTATTTATTGCAATATAAATTGCTACAAAATTATCCAGAACTGTACTCTCATTTTTTCTCATTTTTCATACTCCCATTTTTTTTTCCTTCAGCTTCTTTAATAATAAATGGAGAAAAATACACCAAATGTCGCTGACTAGCATCCATGTTAATGGCATGAAAACAATAATGACATTCACATGATTCACGTCTAATACATAACAACACTCAGCACTATCCGGCTGTGGCTTCTTTGGGAACTGTTTTAGTTGATGGAGCAAAAATAAAAATATTAGGCCAAACTGTGTCTGAAATGTCAGTCAGTATTCATTTCTTGTTTATAGAACTGTTGTATAAAAGCAATATCACACTTGCAATCGTGCTGTTGATCACACGGCTGTGATTATCTGCGAACCAAATCATACTGCTGATATAATGCTGATTTTTAATACATCAGCACTCTTGGAATATTGTTTACATATAATAATAATAATAATAATAATAATAATAATAATAATAATGATTTGAAAAGTGAGCTGTAGAAACAGGTGGTTTTGCAGGTGATAGAAATTGAATGAGAAATGTGTGCAAGAATTTTGTTTATCTGTCCATCCATTTTCTGTACCACTTATCCTACACAGGGTCGCAGGGAGCCTGGAGCCTGTCCCAGGGGACTCAGGGCACAAGGCGGGCACAAACACACACACACACACACATCCATTCACACACTACGGACAATTTAGAGATGCCAATCAGCCTACAACGCATGTCTTTAGACTGAGGGAGGAAATCCCCAAAGCACAGGGAGAACATGGAAACTCCACACACAGGATGGAGGTGGGAATCTAACCCCCAACCCTGGAAGTGCGAGGCAAATGGAGTGTGTCCTCACTGCAGCCTGTAGCACGATGATGTGTTGGATTAGATCCACTATGTACTGGATGTTCTAACCCTAACCGACATATTGTCTCTGCTGTTGATCAGTCCATCATTTTCTGCAACTTTCCTGGCGAAATAAATTTGCGTATGTGTGATTAAACATTCTTGACATTCTCGAACCCTACTCCAGAGCATGTGTGTTACAACATCCAGAACTTAGTGGATCTAATCCATTACAACATCGGGGGACCTCTTGGGGAAACGTGCTAACCACTAAGCCACCATGCCCCCCAGGAATTTTGTTCCCACAGCGAGTGTGTTGGGTTCGAACTGTGAAGGGTTTGGAAGAAGTGATCTTTCACTGTGAAATTGCTTGCTGGAAAATAAAACCAAAATATTATCAACCAGCTTCTATGAGTGAATGTAAAAGTGTGAATTGACTGAATTCTTTTTAGAAATTGACTACATGAGCAGTTCATTTTGAAGTTTTGAGACTCTAATTTGGATGTCAGAATGAAGTTTCTGAGTTTCAGAATGAAGTTTCAGGTCAAACTTCAGAGTAATAATATGAGTGAGTGAGTGGGTTGTGCAGGGTGGCATTTTGCTCCAGTCCTGCAGGGGGCGCTGAATACATGCTGAAACCAACACCAGCATACAAGACTGAGGAGAAGGAGAAGGAAACAAACTGCACAGGAGAGGATCATTAGCAATGAATACTTACACTCGAGAGTGTTTTCTGTGTGTGTTATGAGAAGTTTAGGCATCTGGAGTGAGGAGAAATTAACAGACAGGATTAAAGATGCAGGCTCTGGAAGAAGGTAAGGGTTTTGTGTTTATTGCCAGTGTTTCAGTGCAGTGTATACTGATCATCATGATCTAGTGTGTATGTGTGTGTGTGTGTGTTAACTGTACAATGTCTCCACTTTGTGCCTGTGTTTAGGTAGTGCCTTGTTTCTGCACTGTGTGATTTCTCCTCTCAGACTGCTCTCTGCAGCCATGTGGCATCTGATCCAGCAGGAAGCAGTAACACACTACGGCATGCTGGAGGAGTTTGTGTCTCTCATCACAGACACTGTCCCTGATCTGCTGAGCTACAGACAGAAGACTCAGCTCACCATGGGGCTCAGAGCAAGGGTGAGCAAATCATTACTGCATGACACTCAGGAGAGGCTCCTGGGAGTACTCAGTCTCATAAATATCAGTTTATCGGTCATCCAAGCTGAGGCTGGGTCTCTGGAGGACTAGTGGTTAGGTCTCTGCGCTCTCACCATGCGGCTCGGGTTCGATTCCCAGCCAGGGAACCAACCCCAGTCACCGGGATTGCACACGATGATGCACTCCCAGTGCCGGCCCCAAGCCCGGATAAAATTGGGGAGGGTTGCGTCAGAATGGGAATCCGGCATTAAAAAAAACTGTGCCAAATCAAATATGCGGACTAATGATCTGCTGTGGCGATGCATAACATAAGCAGCTGAAAGAAGAAGAACAACAACTACATCCAGGCTAAGGCAACAGCGAGCACTGGCTCACCAAAACTGGACAATTGAAGTTTGGAAAAAGACCAGATAATCTTCAACTATCCAGTTTTGGTGAACCTTTTCCTCCTGAAGCCTCCGATTCTTGTTCTTGGCTAACAGGAGTAGAATTCGATGTAGTCTTCTGCTCATCCACCTCAAACTTCAACGTGTTGTGCTTTCTGAGATGTTTTTCTGCTCACCACGTTTGTAAAGAGTGAGTTCATCAGCCTTGTGATATTATTTAAAAAAAAGTTTTAAAACTTTCATCTCTTTTTTCCAGCTTGTTCTGGAGTTATGTGGCATGGAGACTCTGGCTGATCCAGATACAGTTCAGGTCCATTTACAGCGGATCGAGACACTTATCGCACTTCACAAGGAACTGGAGGTCAGATATCTGTTCTTCATGTCGCTTCGTTTAGTTTTATAACTTCATGTGCAGTGACTTCTTAGTATACGTCTTCTAAGGTAAAGATGTAGTTGTAAGTCTGCTAGACATTTTGTGTTTCTGAAATAGTTCAGCCAAAATGATTTCACAATGTACACAATTTTACACAAAATGTAGTCAATCAGCAAAGATATGTTTAATGTCTGATTAGTGTTTCATTAGAGCTACAAGGGAAAGCTTCTAGCTACCAGTTTAGCATTGTACAAGCCATTACTTTGAATGTTTGAGTCATGCGTCCATGTTTTAGCCTGCCTTTTTTTTTGTACTCTTTGAGTTTCTGTGTTATAGTCAGGTGATACACATGTGGAAGAATCTGGAGCAAACTTTGTGGCTCTGGTGCAGATTTTAATGAAGGACCCAGCTGAGAGAAGCATCTTCTTTAAGGTCAGAGGTGCATTATCTCAGCATTTGTAATGTTTGTAAAAGATACGCACTCTTCTATTTATGGTATACTGTTTTTTTGAATGTACATTTTGGGTGAAAACATATCTTGAATACTTTATTTCCTTTTTGAAGGATGTATATCCCTTGCAGTATGGTGTGAAGTTCAATACGGCGTTACAGAAGCTGATGTGGCTGTTCCTGTCTAGACTAGAAAATGCTGTCCCACAGCCTACTATGGAGGAGGTATTAAAACAGTATCATAGTAGTAGTAGTATCAAGTAATTATTTTTTATTCATGTCTTTATTCTGTGCTGATGACAAGAAAGAGCAAATCCGTACTTCCATTCTAACATGAAGCTCCTAGGTGGGTTAGTCATGTAAAGGGGTGTGATTAATTTTGTTGCATCAGGGTGTGTTATGGTCAGGGCTATGTAAGCAATCAGCCAGTCGCTCTCAAAGTGGGGTCTGTGATTTTTATCATTTTGTTACAGTAGTCGAAATTACAACCCATTATTATTTATTACCGAGTTCTTATTATTAATGACTTATTTGACTAATCCCTTGAATTGAATGGGTTCGATCCAAATGTCAATATCTCAAGAACACATAACCTATAAATAGTGTCAACTTGGACGTTTTGCGTTCTGTTGGTGGAAAGTTCAGGCATTAAAAGTTCTGTAGCTTTAATAAATAGAGAAATATTATTGTTGCACCACTGATCATCATGTGGACATTTTCATCAGCAATAGACTGCACTGCACAATCAAATAACACACTTATTCATAACATAATACACACTCTCCATAGAATCAAATATCATTTCACAAAGAAAGGAATTCTTAAACTGCGCTGGTTGCATTTATGACCACCTGGTCATAGCCCAGGAATGAGACGGCTGTTGCATTTTTTTGAAGTGTAATGTCAGATAATAGATAATTAGATAATAATAATAAATAAATAGACAGTGATACACTGACCAGTGTTCCAGTCTGTATCGTGACTCATTGGACTTTTAACTGAAACAATGGCTATGAGGATAAAGTGCCAATCGGCAGAGTGCATGCCAGGTGAACTGTGTACAGCTCTTTTTATACATGCATTCACTCATAATAAAAGATCTGGAAAATAATTTAAAAGCCCAGTTAATTAAGAAGCTGAGCAAACTTGGTTGGCTTTGACTATATTTTTGTTGTTTTCTGCCTTTTTCCCCCCAGGCTGCCCATATGCTCAGCACAGCACCTACAGTCATGGAGGAATGTGTTCAGTCTCTCTCGCAACCTCAACAAATGAGAAACGTTCTTAAATACCAAAGAGAAGCCAATGCAGAAATGAAAGGTTATCATTTTTCATGCGTTGACCTTAAATTGACCTTTTCTCTTTGTTTGGTCAAGACCCTGTGTACTATATAGAGAAGGGGAGAATATTGAGTAAAAAAAAAAAAAGTTTTGTTTTCAAAAAGGTGTTATTGTGTTTTTTTTCCACATATTTAAATTTTTATGTTTAATTCCTTTTTTCAGAAACTACACAGTTATGGTCCAGTGCTCCTGATGATTGCGTACTCTCCTGTCTCGGCAGTCCTAGATTAGTGCAAATTCTTCTTGGAGAACAGACGCCCCTAGACACCCAGTCAGAGTCGGTGCTCGACTACGTCCCTTCATATTGCCAAGAGGTCCAGGTAGAATCAGTGGTTATTGCCCAGTACGTTGAGAATGAACTGGAGACGAGCATATCTGAGGAAAATGATGACAGCATACAATATGATGCACAAGAGACCAAAGAATGTGATGCAGTAGTCACTAAAAATTCCACTGAAGTTGTTTATGAAGAGATCGAATCTCTGGACTTGCACACTGTGGACACTGATTTGGGTGAAAGATCTGAAAAGCAAGATCCTGTCGAAGTCAGTGTTGTGGACATGGAAGCTGCCGATGGCGGAGAGGAATCCCTAACTCATCAAGAAGAGAAGGGAGTGGTGAAGATTCAGAAGGAAGCAACAGATTTGGTTAGCTTATACATGATTAAACAACCTTTTGTTAAACTAGACAGGCTTGATCTTTCTGGTAGACAATTTTCTAAGACTTTTAACCCTGGACCAACAAAACGAGGTCGAGGCCGACCAAAGAAGGATCCTCAAAATAAAACATCATGCAGGAAGAAGCAGGAAGAGAAAAAAAAAATTATGGTTCCATGTGCATCAATTAACAGGTATGCCTTTATAATAATAATAATAATAATAATTTTAATGTTTAATTTATATGGCACCTTGTCAAACCCAAGGTCGATTTACATATTGTGACTGGTGACTGCACTGATTTTCTATTCTATGCAGGCCTACAGGACTCAAAAATGGCGTCTCCGGCATTGTTCCAAAGTTAAAGAAGACATGTAAGAAGTATTTGATTACTCTTCATGCTTATTTACAGTAATCATTAGGTCATAACTATGCCATGCAGTTGGGTTAAGGTAACTAATATGAGGCTTCTACAGCACTTTTGTGCTAAAAAAAAAAAAGTCGGCTCATGTAACATGTACACTGTAACTATAATATTGTTGTTACTTCTGCCAGTTGTGCCAGGTAACTTATCTATCTTGAGCTATGAACAACAAAGATAAGAATGATTTGCTATATTGGAACATCCTCTTCCCATGAGATTACAACGTGTGCTGTCTAGAGTCACATATACATAGCTGCTGTTATCACCTCTTGTGCTTTTCTGTGAAAAAAATGAGAGGAGGTGAAAGACATAAAGCCACCAGGCAAGTGAATGCTTCAACGTTCTTGCCTCATGGCTTGCTCAGAAAATCTCTAATTAATTTCACACTCAGTTGTATACCTGACACCAAATCTAGCCTATTTATGATATGGATAAATGCATTTTCCACTCGTTTTTAATTCCTGTGCTAACAAATTGACATCAAATTAACATTTCTGTTTGTCTTCTTAGATTAGAGGTGAACACTGGTGATATATTAGTCACAAATAAAGCAGTTTTGATTCATAAAAACCTGGAGATTTGTCCATCCCTGCACTGTACTGCATGAGTTACTTTACCAAATCCAATATTTGTGTTTCCATTCTTTGCATTTTTCCTAGATACAGTAGTAAAAGGAGCATCTGGGGAATATGCCTGCTCTCTGTGCTCCTTCCAGGATGGTGAGGAGATCCAGCTGCACCACCACCTCATTGTTCATCATCCAGAAGAATACAAGCGACTTTGTGTGGCTGAAGAAGGAAAGGACCCTCAGGACGTTGTGAGCGCACCTCATGAATCAGAAAAGCAGAATAGCCCTGTCAGTAAGGTTCGATCCTACAGAGGAGTACCAGTCTGTAAAACATGCCCCACTTGCGGCAAGACGTTCACTCGAAGCTCAGATATGAGAAGACATCAGGTGTCTCATACAGTGGAACGTCCTTTCGTATGCCGGAATTGCGGTAAGACCTTCAGGTACACCTTTGATTTGAGGAGACATCAGCAGCGTGTGTGTGCTCATAAAGATTATGTGGTAGTGTACCGGAGAAGGGGTGAAGTCACGGAGGATGGAAGTGTAGAAATGAAAGTGGATGATTCCGGAGCTGTGTGTCAGGATCTCCACAGCTCTGTCAAAACTAGTGAGAAAGCAGAATGTTTAAGTTCAGACTCGGTCATAAGTGCTAGCTCTGGAATTCAGCCCAACTCCCTGATGTCCATGGAGAAGCTTGCTGTGAGGGATGTATCAGAGCCCACACATGGTTCAAGCTCAATCCCAGTCAACTCGCACTCGAGACGACACTTGAGATCCCCTTCATCTAACCATCCTCATAAGTGCTCTCAATGTGGCGAAGGCTTCAAGTACTCGTACAATCTCAAAAAACACGAAGATGTTTGTGAAGGGAAAAGTCAGTGCACGGGTTCAGCACTTTCCAAAGAGCAAGAGTCTGACACATCTGAGCCTGGGATTGATGTCTCTCCAGATC